TCGTTCTAGGAAAAAAGTTATAAACAATATAATTTTTACTTTGGTTATATACAAAAGCTAATACAACTCTTATGTAACTAAAATTTAAGGTGAAAAACATCACAAAAACGTAATATCGTTCCTTTTTCTAGAACGATATCACGCAAAACACGCAAACACGCAAAAAACGCACGAAGAAAACGCATAGTGTAGCCAGGCCTTAATGCATCTGCATACACTTTGTTGTGGACGGTCAAACTAAGCAGTATGGACCACAACTCAAATGGTGTCATTCGGGAGACAATTATTTCACATAGATTGGCAAAGTATTATCCCTTACACTTCAAGTAACAGCACGAATTTTACTTTGGGTAGGTACAGGCGAGATTTTTATTAAATAAAAATGTTATTTAAACACATACATGTAGGTACACTGTAAACTCATTTTGACAAGGGGTTGTCGTACAACGACGAGCGTTTGTCAAAAATACTAATAAAGGTTATGTCGAACGACGAATATCTTGTCATAGTTGGTTGAATCAACAGGGCAAATATTAGTATCAGCCCCAGCACCCAGTCGACCATTCATAAAATTGACGAGGATTATGGAGGCTATTGTGAAAACTACCAGGGTCTTATTCGTAATATGGAACATAGATTTGCTTATGTTTTGTAATTTATATCCTTGTCGAAAGAACCAGCTACACCATTGCAACAATACTGATACATACTTATGTAATCTATGCCCTTGTCAAAGGTATCAGCTACACCTTTGCAACACGGACTTAGTTACGCTAGTTAGACGTGTTAGTAGTAACATATACAAAGCTGTTACTTGTTATATAGGTGGCGCCAAACACGTTTCCGGCCGTTTCATTTTGAAAGTTTCAGTTGCGCGCCAACCGCCGTGCAGTGATGTGGCCTCCTGCGCACTTCCGTGAAAATGGTAGGTGATAACAGTGTTCGGTCGTTTTTGTCATTTTTTAATGAAATGTATGTCTTTCAACTGATAGTAATGCAGATTGAATCAGAGAAAATTGCTAAATAAGTGCGTGATGTATGGAAGCAAGCACAATGTGTTCTGCTCCAGGCCATATTGTTCTGCATATGCTATAATATAGCGATGCTTTCTTTCAGGCTTTCATCAGGAGCGAAAGCTCCAGCTTGCAAGCAATGGTCGCTACACTGAAGACAGCAAACTGCAGAAACTCAAGAATTCTAAAAATGAAAAAGCACCTGAATTCCAAGGGGCTAATGAATTTGAATGCCCCTTAGATTTGAATGGGTACAGTGTACTCGGTAAGTGATGACGCTCATTGCTTTTTCGCATGCGTTATTGCCCTTGCCCCTTGGGTCATGAGTGTTATCACCATTGTGTGTGTAATGTGTATGTACCATTTTAAATACATGACCTACTTTCAGTAATGCTGTTTTGCTGTAATAATGAGACTGCAGAGCGGCGACCTGCGATTTGTGGAGAAAACTGACGAATACAAGGGAGGTCTTTGTAAAACGTTACAAACCTGAGACTAGTAGATTGCTTACAAGTACAGGTTTGCTGCACGTAGACATTACTATGCTAACTAAGATTTGCATTGATTTGACTTAACAAGTACACGGCTCAGCCCTGTTAAATGCAAACATGCGCAGGTCTTTACCTGGTAGCCGCATGATTATAACTAGGAAAACAGTCGTTCACACAACAATGACAAAGCAAACTTTGGTAGCTAGTCTAACGAACTACATGTGAGTGGGTTGTAAGAAAAACTACCATGACAAACAATAGGGTCGTTCGATGACATGGCAAAGGGTGCGGGGATTTGCGCTAAATAATTTTCCTTGTAAAAGTAACAAACGTTTGTTGAAATGAGTTTACAGTGTAGTCTAATTTAAGCATGATAAGGTTAGATGACATCAACCTCAACGTTAAGCTTTGTCTCTTGCCATGATTGTTACAATCACTTGCAGATAAGCAATTACATGAATAAACACCTAAGCCTAGTCGAAGTTATCATTACATTAGGTACATTACATTATTGTTAGGCATATGAAATAAATTTACAGCTAACTTTGACGCTTTTTGACAAAACAGCAAACAGAAGCCATGCATGTGATTTCATTGCCTATATTAATGAACAAATAAGTGGTAACTTGGGGCTTTCTCATTTTTACATATTAGGTAGGTACTTTGGCCACGCAGTCATTTGTTATCACAACCAATCACCATTTCATGAGCATGATAGATGATGCATGGCATGAGTGATTAACAATCCTCTTCGCGCATTGATTTGATGAAAGCTACTTCACGTCTGGTTAGCTGACTATTGTTGCAACAATCATCAGTTATTCTGAACAAGTTTGATCCAGCAAGAGTGCAGGCATAACAATATTTCTCTTTTACATACAATCAAAAGAAAAGCCAACGGCACTACTAACGAACTCAATAGTCAATATTGTTTTGGATACGTGAGAAATTACATCTCAAAACACCAGACATGTGACGGCGCCTAACTAGCAGTGGCGGATCCAGGGGAGGGCAAAATGGGCATTTGCCCTCCCCAAAGCTAAATCATGTGGGCAAGACTGTCCTTTTGCCCCTCCCAAAGCATATAGAGATGATAAAATTGAATACGGCGTCGAGGACTATCTGGACGAAAAGCAGAACTTTCGGTGACGGCCATTCCGAAGGAAGGAGCTGGACGCTCGCTGCTGATGATTTATGCCAGAATGCTGTTAATAGATCGAACTCCCTGAACTGATTGCATGTAGATAGTGTGGCGTTGTAAAGTCGTTTGGTCATCTCGGTGCTCAAGGGCAGCGGAAATCCGGATAGAGGGTGCAGGGGTTCAGCTCCAGACCCATGGAAAACCTTGGAGTGCAAACATAGCTTTTTGCACCCTCCAAAAGCCGTATAAGAGGCCTGTCACACCACCAAATACATTTTATCCTAAAAACCAGTGATCGGGAAACGAACGATCATGTGGGATCACCGATCATCAGACGTCCAGTTGTTGGTCAGGAGCGCCCTATGCTGGTCTTTGGGGCCCTCACCGGCTAGGAGTGTCCTGAACCGCGTTTGGTGCCCCATGACGGCATCTGAGGACCCCACGGAGACTCCAGGGGTTACGCTGCCTCTGAGGGCCCCCACGGCGGTCTCTGAGGGCCCTCGTGACACGGTCCTAGACCCATCTCAGGTCTGAGTGCCCATCGGGCTTTAGACGGCCCACGACGGCCTCTGAGGGCCCCAAAACAACCAGGCTGCAGGGCTATGCTGGCATCTGAGGAACCTGTGACGGTCTATTGATGCCCCTAACGATGGACTCTGATGTCCTTACCACAGCCTCTGAGGGCCTTGCAAAGATACCTGAGGGCCCAGGGCCTATGAAGACCGTCATGATGGCCAAGGATCTTCATGATGACCTCTGATGGTCCTCTTGAAGGCTTCTAAGGGCCCTCAACGATTTCCACAGTGATTCCACCCGAGACGTTCCCTGGGTGCCCTCACGACGACCTCTAGGACCCAATGCAAACTTCAAATGCCCACGCTGGCGTCTGAGGGCCCCACGACGGCCTCTGATCTGGCCTCAACGCAGGCAGACTGCAGGGTTCATGCTGACCTCTGAGAGTCCTGTAACGAAGGCTCCAAGGGCCCACACTGGCCTATGAAGAACCCTACGACGGCCTCTGGAGGGCCTTAACGCAGGCAGGGGACATGCTGGCCTCGGGGCCCCGCGAAGATTTCAGATTCAGAGGCCCTTCACAACGACCTTTGAGGGCCTTACAAAGGTCTCGGAGGGCTTACGCAGGCTCGTGGGATTCCACACTGATTGTCAGGTCCCATGTAGGCTTGTTGGGACACTGTATCCGCTCCTGGTGCCCCTTCGCCGGCCTCTGAGAGTCTCAACACCGGAACTTCTTGGCCCTACACCGGCTTTTAGGACCATCGATTTAGGATACATCGATCTTGGTACCCACGACCCATCAAATATGTGTCCAAGCGGCTTCTAAGAATCCCCATGCATGTTCCACGGACATGAAGCCGAATTTTTGGGCTCACACGCGAGCTCTTGGGACCCCATGAACGCTCCAGGGACCTACCTGCCTCCAAGAGCCTCACACATACTTTTGGGGCCCTAACGCTTGCCCCTGAAGGCCTCACTCAGACTCCTACCCTTTCCTCCACACCGGTTCTTTAGGCTAAACATCAGCTCCTTTGGCCTCTATCCCGGTTTTGGAGGGCCTCCATACAGGCTTTTTGGGTCCGATGCTGGTCTTTGAGAACTTTCCAGACTCTCGAGCCTACGCTGCTTTCTGAAACCCTTCAGCACCTTCTGAGGAACTGACCCTGGTCGGGGACTCATTCAATCTGAGAAGTCGTGAAGGCTTCTGGAGGAGCCTCCATTGAGTCATTCAGTTTCCAGAGGTTTTTTAACGGTCTTGTAAGAGCGGACCCGTAGGGCTCTCAAATGTCCACTGCGGATCCAGAAAAGTGGTTTGAGGCTTGCGGGTGGTGGTTAGCATAAGAAAAATCACCGAATAAGAAAACTTGTTGCATTTCACTTATTTAGGTATGCTGTGATTTTGTTAGGTTCACTGAAATATGCACATTTTGGATAACTTCCTGCATGGATTGTTTCCTTAACTTTTGGTTTTCATAAATCGATGATTGACAGCTTAAAAAGTAAAGGGGCCCAAAACCTTCAGTGGGGCCCCTTGAGAAAATTTTGCATCCCCATCCAAAATTTATTTTACATTCCTCCCAGTGCGGGGGCGGATAGGGGTCGTCGGATAGGTCGGAAACTTTTGCCCTCCCCAAACGGATCGGCTGGATCCGCCCCTGCTAACTAGAACCACCGATCCGCTTTGATCGATAAGAATAATTACTGGGTGACATGAAACATGAGTGATTGAAATGAGAACAATGATTGTTTTGCTCTTTGCCTGGTACGATGTCATTCGTAGTACAAATTATTCATAATTAGATGCCATTCGGTCTCGCTCAATCATGTGGGTCTTCTTACCTGAAGTTCCTTGGTCAATGCGATGGTCAGCCCTTAGCAATTGGATCGCACTCCAAGAAGCCACGACATCACGCTTGCGTCCGACTCGCAACGACTCAGAGGACTTTGACTCAGTCCCTAACAGCCCCACTCAACACGCGCACACACCACTCAGGTCCACAGCCTGAGCTGGACCCTACCGTCTCTGGCTCAGTCCACTGCCGCTGACTTGTCCACTCTGTCTCAGGCCAGTCCTCCGCCACCGCCCTTCCTCACAACCCAACACAGCTCTCTGACTGTCCGCACCACACCCCACGACACCCCACCGCCTCTCCCGGCGCACTCCCGGCACAGACTGACTGCCGCCCTCCCCGACGGCGGCGGCGCGGCTCGCTCCCGCACTCCGCCACACCGCGGCAGGCCAAAGTCGGAGCCGGCGCGGTGGGCGAGCCGGCGGTACTTTCTCGCAGGTCAGCCGCGCATCAACCGCCCCAGGCGGACGGCTAGTGACCCGCCCCTCAGCGCGAGGGGCGGGGCGGGGTCCGCAGAGTAAACACGCACAAACATGCGTAACACACGTAGCGCGGCTAATGCATGCTGCTGAGGCACGTGCGCTAGCCGCAGGGGGCAGGGAGCTGGGCTTCAGGGTATGAGATTGAGGTAATGCGAGCCGTGCGCTTTTCAAAACAAACTGCTCCGGCCAAGTCTGATGAATGATTCGGTGTTTTGTAGGGCTGTAATCGTAAATCCAATGAGCGCTGAAGCTCGGAAAATGATTCATCGAAGTCTTCACTGCCTGTTTCAGTGATAAAATTTAACTCCGAGCTTGGATCTCAAATTCTTCATCATTTGACATTTTCCACGCACTGCCGTCCGGCCCATCACAGTGGGGATTTTTTTCCGATCTAGCACGTCTTTATTCGTAGAGGGCAAACCATAGTAGTATTGTAGCCAGATTGTGCACCGATGCTGGCTGGTGTGTTCTGGTGAGAATGTTACCTGTAAATGTGCATAATCAACATAGAATAGGGGGTTCAATTGGACCCCCCGCTCAGCCGTTTGGCCCCTGATCAAGCTAGAGCTTCGCGGAAAAATCAAGCGTGCTGCCTATGACGAGATTAGGCCGAATATATCCATTATCAAAGTCCAAGGTCATTAGTTGACTTTCCAAGTCAGTTTAATGACCCAACTTACGTGGGAAATCAAGACCTCTTGAAACTTCGTAAAGTTAGGGTATTACGGTGTATTTTGGGGTGCTTATGACGAAATTCATGTTAGATTTGATCACAGACGATGTCTTTATGCATTTAGGCCAGGTCGGGTCAGGTCAGGTCAGATCAACCAATAGGCGTCCTGCCGGCCATCCATAGTAGGTGTCACCTACTACTGACAGCTTCGTAACATGGTACGAAGGCACCAGAACTACTTTGTAAATATTCAAATGGTTGCTAAATTCGAAATCAGCACCAAAAACTACCCTAGAAACAAGTTAAACTCGAAAAAGTGAACCAAGGTCATCAAAGGTCAATGACCTTGACTTGACCTTCACGTGACCTTGACACCCACCATAATGCATGGAACCAACATCATTTCACATATTTAAACGTTTAAAACCACAGAAAGACTAGAAACCGCGAATAATGTGAGCTGGCATACGCCGAATCGCGATTCCGGCCAAACATGGTCTCGAGAAATATGCCACAGGTCAAAGGTCAGTTAGGTCAGAGTCATGAAATTTTTAGGTTACATGTAAAATTGATGATCTCGAGGGCACCGAAAGTTTCGTCGCGATCGGCCGCTTTTTGCGCGAGTAATTTGCGGAAAACCATGGGGTTTTATCCGACCCTTTCCCCTCCCCCTCCCCACAAGTGCGAGGGTTAATAAGATTACGGTGTGTATAATTTACGCTTGTCATCCTATTCCTAATGAATGTGTCTCAGGAAATATGCATCATATAAATCACGAAGTAAAATTATTCGCCTATGTTCGGAACATACCTATATCGTGCTATTTGCCCTAGCGCTCCTAGAGTGGGGTATTAAGATACTCTAATGTGAATATTCCGTGTTCAGGCAAGTTCCGGCAGCCAAACTAGGCGTTGTCTTGTGCAGGAAAAAGTGGCGAATTCGATAGGATATGTTTCGGAGTGGAAAAGTGTGGAAAACATTGTTGATTTCCTACATTTATTTAGAATACCATTCCTTCAATATGGTGTCTGTAAGGGTTTTTTGTAAATGTCATTTTTTTTGTGACCTGAGTAAGGTGGTGGCATACTTTCTGTTTGCCATTCCATTCCCAATAAAGGTGCTTTTCAGAAGATATGCAACTTTAAGACCTCGCAAGAATGAAACCAACAGGGCAGGACAATGAAATTGAGCTATACTTTCGGGCCTTACTGAGCCCATTGAGTAATCACGCATGAGTTTGAACTTTGGGCGCATTTTTCCTATTCTTGCCGAGGACATACAGATAAAACAATGCCATATATGAAAAATTCAGACATTTCTTAGCCCCACTGACACAAAAAAAGATTCAAAAAAGATTTTTGGAATTAATACGCGCTAGATCGGGAAAATCCCCACTGTGCCATGGGCCGGTTTTATAGAGGCATGGGTTGAAACTTGAAGCTCACTCTTGTTTGAGGCTAAACGCCAGGCAAACGGCGGCTGAAATGCATTTGATATTAAATCCATTAGATGTGCGATGCATATGAAAAATTCCTCCCCTTATCATTTACCCATTTACGTATTTTGAGGTGTAATGATTGTGACCACATATGCAATGGTTGCATCATGCGATGCAGGCTGAGTCATGATCTATGACGGTCACAGTCGTGACTGGGCTAGCGTAACACCGTAACCTGTCCGAGTCTAGATCATTCATCCCGCCAACACTGTAACAAATCTCAGCTTACTCCACAACTGTCAGGCCCTGACCAATGTGACAAATGTTTCGTTACGCGACAACTTTCTAAAACCAGCGAAATGTTTCAAACCACGCGCGTCTTTCATAGCTCGTGCGCGTGAGTATGCCATGCGTGAGTTGCACGCGGTCCTCGACTGTTAATCACCATGACAACGGACGCCGACGCGGCCCACCCGGGCGACAACCGTTCACAGCGTGAAGCGTCGCCGTCGGCCCCGACCCCCAGGAGAGACCGGTCAGAGCCGGCGGAGCTGACCCGGCTCAGCGTGAGCGCTCCGATGGATCGGTGACCTCGATGTCGGAAGGGGACAGGAAGAACGTGAGGCCACGTCGGAGCGATTTTTCACACCCATCGGAGCTGAGGCGCACTCACGATCAACTGGGGCGCGCCGACCTTGCTGCTGAGTGCAGCATCACTCCTTGGTAGTTGTTCTTTGAGGCTGTTCACCGTAGGTCGATCGGTGAGCGACAGGGAACGGCCAGATAGGACACGGCCGACAGTCTTCCGTCTTCCGAACCCGAAGATCGCCTATTTGGTGACTCAAGACCAGAGGTTCTCGAGTGTCTGGACAGCCCTATATGGCTAGCTTTCAAGATCATCAGATTAAAGTACTCGGCTTTTCCGGACTGAGTTTCGTGACTGTATTAACTATTGTCACTTCGTCAGAGAGAGAGAGAGAGAGAGAGAGAGAGAGAGAGAGAGAGAGAGAGAGAGAGAGAGAGAGAGAGAGAGAGAGAAAGAGAGAGAAAGAGAGAGAAAGAGAGAGAAAGAGAGAGAGAGAGAGAGAGAGAGAGAGAGAGAGAGAGAGAGAGAGAGAGAGAGAGAGAGAGAGAGAGAGAGAGAGAGAGAGAGAGAGAGAGAGAGAGAGAGAGAGAGAGAGAGAGACAATTTTATTGGATCTATGTACACAAATTTAAAGATAACATACACGATTGGCGTAAAAGCGCCCGAGGCGCTTAATACGAGACGCCGTTCGAGAAAAAGTCAGCGGCATACAAGTGAAACTGTCCGGAAAAGCCGACTCCGAGTACTTTAATTTTATTTCTACAGACTTGCTGAGGACTATTAAGATCACCAGATTGATATTTTATGCAATACACAAACGCAGTTTGCATTCATGAGATATCTATAAATAACACCTCTTCCTCTTGGTCCTCTGCCTTCAATTTGTAACCTCATTTTTCCACACCACAGCTGCTTTTTAATGAGTGCATCTGGTGCGTGACCGGTCGGCGGCGGATCACAGGACGCTGACGGATAACAGCTGCTGCTGATGTGCCCCGCGAGCCGGCGTTATCGACAATCGGCGGCAGTGGAACGCGTCCAGAGCCGCACGCACACCGTTACTCCGCCGGCAGAGGCGCCGCGCCGCCGCTCGTCATTACGGCGTCAGATTTGTCAGAACCGCGCCGCGCGAGTTTCGCGGCCGAGAGTCGGTCAGCCACCGCTGCGGTCGGCGCTGTGGCGACTTTCCCGGTCTGGATGTGTCGGAATGAGATGGGAAACGGAAGATGGTGGAGCACAGATGTGCGGAGGTTGGAGTTTGATCAGTTACGTCATGTCGTAATTCACACACGTGATGCTTTGAAGACTTTATGCCTATATTGCGTTTTATGTTGGGGGGAAATGGAAGGTAGGTATTTCAGCTGTTGCTGTTGTTATCGGTTCATGTCCCTTATCCTAACCTCTTCAAATTCTTCAGATTGTTCAGTTCTAGGGAAGTTTCGCCCATTCTCCCATATACTCTCTGACACCCATCTATATCAATTAACCAGATTGCTGTTTTATTGTTGGTCTTTCCCATCATCCCTCATTCACTTTTAAAATTCCCGGAGTTTCATCGTGCATATTCTCTCATATAGTGGCTCCTCGTCTTTGCCCCCGGCGGCGGATCCCTGCCGTCGGCGGCAGACGCTGCGCTGAGTGCGCCACAATAACCACAGAGCGCCACAATCGCCGCAGAGTGCTCCCACAATCAGTCGGCCACCGGGGATGGTCGGCCGTCGCCGGCGGCGACAGCGCGACTCTTTTCACTTCCCCGACTTTCGAGCGGGAGGACTCTCGATTTCCTGCCGGTAGCCGGCGGCGGGGTGTGCGGTCCAATCTGTTGGCGATGATGGATTGAGCGAATCATCGCCGATCGACTCGAGGAGGCCAGCCGAAGGTTGGTAAACCGTGGGCCGATCAGCGGCCGGGAGGGCTGTTAAGTCGCTTCTCGGTTTAAGTCGCTTGCTTGTCACACCTGGTATAGTTACTATAGCGTTGCGTATGTCCGGGAGGACTGCGGACAAGATTTCGTATGCTGACTGTCACGTGAGAAGATTTTCCTTTTGGTTCATAAGCTTTACAACTTTGTTTCGGGAGGTTTAGATTGACAACCACAAAGCATTATTGTTTTTGGTCGGTAATTTTATAATCATGCAAGCCAAAG